AAATCGCTTCGTTCCTCGAATGTTGTGGTAGCTGGTATTGATATGCTCGATGTGGTGGCTGTTCGTTGTCGAGCGCTGATCGTAGCGCAAGTTCTGCACTTCTCGCACTAAGGAATCCAGTCCACCAGGAACGATGCCTTTGGGTAGCCGTTTGGGAAGTTCCGCGTCGTCATTCTGAAAGTCCTCAGTTGTTGGCGATCCCAAGTCTGATCCGGTTTCTTCATACGCATGTCGATTGGGTCGTCTCGGGGTCGAGGATCCGGCTGCCAGTGGTGATGATTTCGGCAATGCCTTTGAATTCACTGCTGCATCTGGGGTCCGTGAAGATCTCGCTCTCCGACATCTGGCGATTCCTGTTCATCCAAGCTGTTAGAGGGTACCGACTGCAATGAAGACCATGATGAGGTATTATGATTGTTGATGTGCATATGGGTCTTCAATGTCGGGGTCCAAAGATATTCCTTCACTTTCATGGTGGCAAACCAACTGCTATGGGAACTGTTCCAATCGTCATCGCAGTAGTCGTCGTCGTAATCATCGCCGTAGTGGCCCTTGCTCTTCTTGCCCTTGCCTCGACCACGATATCCCTTGCCTTTTCCTCGTCCTTTGTTTCTGAATCTATATCATTTACCTTTTCCTCGTCCTTTGCCTCCGTTCGAGTCCGACTTGGTCTTGCCCTTCGATTCACTCTTGCCTTTGCCGTCGTTCTTCTCCTGGCAGTCCTTATCCTTGGAGCCGGCCGGGCAATCCTCGCTCTTGCGCCATCTTGATCCGCATTTGCTGCAATTGCCTGATTTGTCCTTCTTGCCGGTACCTTCATAAGCTCCGTCATCTTCTGTCGCAGGTGGTGCATAACTCTCATCATGTGCTTGATCCTCGTCCCACCAGTCGTCGTCATCCTCATAATATTGCCATTGTCCATTATCATCATGATATCCGTAGTGGTCCCAGAACTCTTCATCATCTGAGTCAACCCAGTAGCCTTCATACTGGTCTCGATTGTTCTGGGCCAGTGACTGCTTGGCGAGACGAGCCATGATTGTTTTGATATCGTTGTATCGTCGTAGGTCACCGTCGATTTTGAGTTTGATGCCATCGACCCGCTTGGCCGATAGATCGCGAGGTAATAGATAGCTCCTGCCGACGGCGTTGATGTTCAGTCCTGCTTGGTCTGCTGCTTCATCGTACACGAGTTCGAAATCTGAAATATATTGTCCTAAATCACGAGGTCCTCTCTTGAAAGTGACGACTTTGTCTGGCGCAGCCCCGACTGTGTCTTGAACATGCAGTCCGTATTCTCCTTCCAGCCAGCGAGTGAAGAGTGACAGGCCTGATGGCTGTGCCAGTGTTCCGTGAAATTCATCAGCTTCCGTTCGTTCTAATGCGAAGGCGTTCTCACCAACATATTCTCGCCCATCTCGTTCGACCTTGAATCTCAATGCTTGCTTGTAGGCGCCTCCTTGGAGGCGTTGCAATACGAGCAGTGCTGCCACGCTGTCATCCTCAACATTCTTGTTCTCCACCAAAGTGATAACTTTTGAAGATGTTTCTCGACAATATACTTGGCAGCACCTGGCTTCCAGCCAGGAGGTGTCTGTCGCGTACTCTCTTCAAGTGGCAACGACTGTGATCTGGAGTAGTCCATCTTGAGTGTCCGTGAGGCCGTCCGTTCTTCTTTCCAAGTGTAGAGGTCTGGATGTCCGTGAAGTTTGCCTGGTGTAGATATCTGGATGTCCGTATACTTTGCCGAATGTGTGAATCTGGATGTCCGTATACTGTACCGAGTGTGATTGAATCTGATCGTCCGTAAACCTTACTGGGTGTGATGAAGCTTCGCCGGGGCCGCGAGCGCTGAAGAGGTTGTCGTAGATACTGCTAATCTGCGTAGCGATATTGAAATTCTCAGGGCAGCCGCTGATCACCTGCTTGATGATCGGGTCCGCGATGCTATCGCGGCTGGCGAGCTGGCTTGGCGGGGCGGGGCCGCGCGCGCCGCCCGTGGGCGGCTCCGCTACCAGAGCGGATATCGCTCTATGTTCAAAGAGCTCGAGCCCCGATCTTAATGCGAGAGGCTCTTCACACATGTCTATGACTGCTCTACTGCTAAGCAAAGCTATGCAAAGTATACGCTGATAAGAACAGATACTACTCTACCCCAAATGAGTCCTAAAACGTCGCTGAGGGGGAAGGGGAGCGGGGCGGGAGGGGGAGGGGGACGGGGAGGAGGAGGAGGAGGAGGAGGAGGAGGAGGACGAGGACGAGGAGCAGGGAAGAACGCTACAATCCGAGGAGTGAAATCCGCTCAACGTCTAAACAAAGAGGAACCGAGGGGAAAGGAAGGTGAGCATGAGGGATGTAGGGGGCGGGCGAGGAGGAGTAGGGCGAGGGAGGGGGGGCGGGGGGGGGGGGGGGCGAAGGAGGAGCGGGAGAAAGCCGAGGGCTCGAGGGAACGGAGGGGGCGCGGGGGGGACCAGCAGCAGCAGGGGCCCGGCGACGAGGGGGACGCGCAGGAGGGACGGGGCCGCCCTCTGCTGCCCCCCTCCCGTCCCCGCCCTCCCGCTTCCCCCCCCCCGCATCCCCCTCCCCCTCCCCGTCCTCTCCCAGAACCCTTCGCGCTGTGAGCAAAGAAATCGCGGCGGGAGGTTTCTCGCTATTTTCAGCCTCCAGAGGCCCTCGCTGGGCCTCGGGACCGTCCAATAACGACTCAGCAAAGTGGTCCTGGGGATGGGGTCGAGACCTCTGGGGGTCGACGTTGTTTGATTTTCACGACGTCAGGGGTCTGGGCTCCCCTCCATCCCCCCCTCCCCCATCTCCTCCCCCTCTTCCCTCCCCATTTTCCCTCCCTCCCCGCTTCCCCCCTCCCTCAGCCTCCCCCCGGTGGCCATGTTGGTTCAAATGAGCAGGCTCATAGGAGGTCCTCGCGCCGCTCGCCCTGAGGGGGCGCCGTTGGGCGCGCAAGGTGCCACGGGGATCGTCGACGAGGCGCTGGGCAGCCGCCTCTGCTCGCAAAACCTCGCGCACCGGCGCTGGCGGGAGGTATGGGCGGAACTCGGCGGCAGCCGCGCTCAGCAGGCGCTCGTGCGGCGCACGGCCCTCGTTCGACGCGGGATGACACTGCACTTGCACGTGTCCGACGCGGTTGGGGCCCATGCCGCCGCGATGGGCGACGCCCTGGAGGCGCTGCGGCTGCTTGGGGCTGGCGGCGCTGGTCTGTATGTTGACGCGGCGGAGGCGCGCGCCGCGTCCAACTGGGCAGCGCACGCCGCGCCGCCCGGCATGGCGGCGACGCCCAGGGTGCCTCTCGGTATCCGGGCCTCGGTGGCGGAGCTCCTCAGGGCCCAGCTGCACGGCCTTGCAGAGAAGACACACCGAGACCCTCCTGGGCGTTCTCGGCATCACGGCTCAGGTCCAGGAGCCGGCGCTGCAGGAGGCAGGTGTCGGTGAAGATTTTTGTGCTGCCGACGCTGATGGCACCCTTGGGTCTGGCCCTCCCCCCACGCCCCCCCCGCGTTGGACTGAGGGCCCCGCCACGGAGCACGACTGCCAGGTGAGCAGCACGGGCCACCAGGGCAGGACCCAGTACAGCTTCGGCGCGGAGGTTTGCATCGGAGACTCGCAGGGGTGCCCTGGAGGACCAGGTGAGCATCTTGGGCCACCAGGGCAGGACACAGCGCATCTTTGGCGCGGAGGTGCGCATCGGCGACTCGCAGGGGGTCCTGGAGAAAAGCTCGACGGCGGCCAGGCGAGCGTCAAGGGCCACCAGGGCAGGACCCCGTCCATCTTCGGCGTGGAGGTGCGCACCGGCGGCATGCACTTCCGCGCTGGGGGGCCGCGCAAACAACCCCCCCAGAGCGCGAGGACGGCGGCGATGGGGTCGGAGCGGCCCCGCTGATCGTCCGCGGCCAGGGGTATTCAGGTGCAGTTTACCGTGAAGGGGCGTCCAGGCGGAGCCGACTGAGGACGAGCCCTACCTGGACTTGACTGGCCAACCCGCGCGGGAGCTCGGGTGACGTCGGCCCGCGGCAGTGCAGCCCCTCGTGAGGCGAGTCGCGCGGCTGTCACGCGGGCGGCGCGACCTCGAGGACCAGCAGGAGGCCGAGGACGTCACCGAGACGCCGCCTCCTCTGAATTGGCAGCAGCGGCGGGACGGCGCCGAGCAGCAGCCTCACCGTCGCAGAGAACACCGACGCTGCACGAGCAGCAGGGCAGCACATGGCACGTGCCCGACCCCGTCGAACGCCTCGCCCGGCGCAAAGCGATGCTGGAAGCGCGCTTCGGCAAGGACTGGGAAGGAACGGGGCGCGCCGCCCTCGTTCCGAAGTTCTGCGACTTCAACTTCGGCCCGAGTGACGAGTCCTAGGCCCTCGAGGCGGCGCCGTGCGGCGAGGGCCACAGCACCCTCGGGGAGACCTGGCCGTCGCAGGCCCGCCAGGGCCGCAAGGCCGAACGGCTCGGTCCCAGCGCGACGTGGTTCCGCGCCTCCGAGGCCGCCCCGAGGCACGCCTCCGCCGCAGGGGCACGGGCGCGGCCCGCCACGCGGCGCAGGCGCCGCAGCGGTCGTCGGCCCCACGCGGCGCCCGACGGCCCCTGCGGCCCGCGTGGTAGGCTGAAGAGAAGGCGCGGGCGTGCGAAGCACCTCTTCGGAGTGCCCGCCCGTCCTCCTGGGCAACAGACGGCTGTGTAAGCCTAGCTTCGCCAGCACGGTTCGAGCAGCAAGCAATCCCCCCCCCGTCCTTCCACGAGTGTTGTTTGGAAGCGCGCCCCTGACGACGATGACCTCGGCGGCGGCGACGGGGACCGCAGACGACGACGACGACGACGGCGACGACCCGCGACGAGACGACGGCGACGGCGTCGGCGACAGCGGCGGCGACGACGGCGGCGCTGCTGTCGGTGACGACGACGGTGGTTCTGGCGGCGGCGATGGCGACGGCGGCGGCACGGTCGGTGGCGACGGAGACGGCGGCGCTGTCAAGGCGAGGGCGGCGGGGGCCCAGCAGGCGAGCTCGTGTTCTGGCGCTCGGACACGGGCGCGGAGGTCAAGAGACTCAAGGCTTT